TGCTGCATTCGTGCAGCGGGTGTTTGCTGCATTCGTGCAGCGGCGGGGTACTGGCGAGAAAGCGAACTGCTGCCCTGGTTGGGTTCCAGCAGGGCTGCGAAAGAGTCAACCTCTGGGCTTTGTCTCCTGCCCGCGGAAATGCATATCCTCTATCTTTGCAAACTGTAAACCTCACATTCCTCCACTTGATTTATTAAACCACCGTTTTAAAGGTCAGCCCAGAGAGCCAGGGGCCGCATGGAATGTTTCGGTGGCCAGTTAGTACCCAAACTACAGCAGTGGCGGCGTGCATTCCCCTGCAGTCACGGCTGAACAAACAGGGTTAGTACTGTGGGTTGTGCCTGAGATGGCTGGGACCTGCCTGAAAAGACTGCCAATTAAGCCCTTTAATGTCCCCAGCATACTCTCTTACTTCTGTGTCTGGTGATTGTGATTAAGGGCAAGACACCGTGGAGCAGGCCTCTGGGGAGGAAATACATTACCTTGGCTAGTTCCGTGGAGCAAGCATTTCAGGTTTGATCCTATCACCATCATTTCTGCTCAGACAGCAGCAAGATCCTGTCCTTTCTAATATTGCACATGTTTTGAATACAAACATGCTTTTCATCCTTAAGCTATTCAAATGACATTCCTTTCCTGCTGCAATCTAAATTTTATATAGCTGCATAGCACACTTTATGATGCATTCCTTCACAATGTGATGTTATAAAATGGGGCATATTTTGTATCACAGTGGGGAAAGTTTTCTTTCAAACATATTTCCCAAAAGATGGGGAGACTCATGAATGGTGATTCCTATGGTGAGCATAACATATAAAGAAACTGGTGACAAGAAAAAGAGGAAATCTATTTGTGGCTTCCCCAAACTAGACATTTTCTGTTGATTTTATTCGTGTTTCTCTTTAAAAAGTTAAAGATCTATAGAAAGCATGATAAACTCCAATAATGAGAGATTAAGTGCCAGCATTTTTTTCTTTTATTCTTTATAGCAATTTTCAAGTCACTTTATCAAAGAAACCTATTTACAAGGGCAGAAAATGAAAGGATTTTAAATAGAAAAAAAAAAGCAGAAGTCACAACGCAGTCATTTTAAAGAGTTTAGATCAGCTAAGTGGTATTTTAGCTCATGAATCCCAGGAAAGGTGTTTTGTAAACCGATGTTTAGAGTACTGCCTAAAAGGGGACATCACCAGTTACGGGTCCACTGGTAGCCTCCAGTTTATTTTAGGTTGGGAGGTTTAAGAAATCTACAACAATCATAGTCAATTGCCATCACTAGCTGTCCAAAGGAAATGTGCTCGATAACAGTCCTCCTGGTGTAAATCAGTTCAGATTGGTGTCCTCAAAACACGAGAGGTTAACTACATGCACACACTGCAACAGTCCTCCTGGTGTAAATCAGTTCAGATTGGTGTCCTCAAAACACGAGAGGTTTACTACATGCACACACTGCAGATTGTGGGATGCAAGTATCAAATTCCTCAGAGACATATGGAAGCAGCAAATGCCACGGGCTGCAGTGTGTGTTATGAGTAGAGCACTACGCAGACTGGAAGCAGATTGAGCTTCGGTCTGAAGTAACTGTGTGAGTTGGCAAATTATTTAACCTCTCTGGGCCTCAGCTGTTTGCTGAATAACAATCACCATCTCAGGGGGATTTTTTAATCATTATATAGTAGATATCAAAGGCCTGTCATAGGGTAGGGATCTTGCACATGTTTGCATGTGTTTATTTCCTTCATCCCTCCTTGCTTCAAAAGGATGCTGACACTGGTGTGTCTACATGACGGTGAGGTGACTGGGACTTGTCTGTTGTTCTGGACTAGGAATATTCCCATAGCTCACTGGTGGCAGGAGTATTTTGTTCACTTGTCCCCTCAGACTGATGCTTTCCTGAGGCCCGCCTTATAAGAATTTCAGACTGTGTTTTTCAAAACAAATGCTCATACAGATCTTCCTGCTATACCAGAATTTTAGAATAATGCAATCGAAAGTGACCCGGTCCTACCCATCTGAAGCTTTCTGATTCTATTGGCCCTGGAGAAGCAACAGCTTCTCAGTGGTTCTAAGAGTTATATTTTATGAGCTCTGTGATAACGTGAGTATATTTTACTTTTTTTTAAAGATTTTATTTGCTTATTTATTTGAGCGAGAGAGAGAGAGAGAGAGAGAGAGAGAGAAACAGCATGAGAGGGGAGAAGGTCAGAGGGAGAAGCAGGCTCCCCGCTGAGCCGGGAGCCTGATGTGGGACTCGATCCCAGGACTCCGGGATCATGACCTGAGCCGAAGGCAGTCGCTTAACCAACTGAGCCACCCAGGCGCCCATATTTTACTTTTTAACTAAATTACCTCAAACAGTCCTTTAGGGGATTACAGATAAAGTTCTATTAGTGAGTTTCATCCACATACTTCTACATTTGCTTTTAAAATAATTTGTATTTCCTAAGAGTGTGCTTTGTTGGCAGCCCTTAACCCATTTCATGTTGGTGGAGAATATGCTTAAAGGAAAATAAATGCACCAGTGTGTATCGAGACCCAAAAGGCTTCTTCTAAAGAAATAACACCACCATTACAAACAACACTAATGCAGAAACATTTCTGGTAGGTGAAAGAAAAGTCAAGATTCTTTTTTTTAAACAGGTTTTCTAAAGTTGCTCATTTTACCTTTGCTTTGACACAGAGCAAACGCCACATGGGCGTTCAGAACAAAATGCTGGGAAGAGGATTTTAAAAGGAGGATGACTGGACAGAATATTTAAAAAGCCGCAGGCGCCTAGCTGAGGAAGGCTGAAAGTAGGCTAACCAAAACCCAGACACAGGCTGGGCTCAGGAGCCCCCAGAAAGCAGCCTGTAGTGGAGACTGAGGTGGCTATGCCAGGAGCTATTTTAAAAAAGACAAGAGATCTACATTCAGAAATACAGTTGATGTGTCCTTCTCCCGACTCCCTGCTCAAGGAGTCCAGCCAGGGTGAGGACTGCCCCACTCCACTCCATTCCCCACTCCACTCCAGTGCACCTCCTTTCTCAGCCACCCAGTGGATGGCAGCAGGTGCCCCACAGGTTTCTTCCCTACAAGGCGTTCCAGGGGCCCTGCAGCGTCCATCATCCGTGGCTGCCTCCACCCTCTTGGGGCAGCATCTTCCTCTGCAGTCAAAGGCTTCAGCCAGGAGATGTGGCAAAAACGCTGATGGACTTAAGATCTCGGAGGGTGACCTGAAACTCCGAGGGAAGGGAGCTGGCAGAAAGAAAATGAATTCATGAATACTTAAGAGTGTGGTGTCTGTAGGCAGCCTCACACACAGTGAGTGTGACACAGTGTGGCTTATATGGGACAGGTTAAAACAAATCCATTCTGCCGCTTTTCAGCCACGCTGGGTAATGGGGAGCAGGCAAAACTATGACTTATGTAGGTTCTCTCCCTCACTCCCTCTCTCTCTCCAGAGAAACCTTTCCCACTGTTGGAGCACCTATGAATGTGAAGGCCAAGGATATGTGGGCTATAGGAAGTCATCAGAATAAGGGCCCTAACAGGGCCAAGCCAAACCAGGGAGAGCCTAATGGCTCAGGCTTGAAATCCTAGAATGATTGATGTGGATGGACCTCTTGATAGATTAAACAACAAATGTTCATGTTTCTAAAGTTGCATTACTTGAGACTATATTGTTTAGAAACCCCATGCAAGTTCTCGGCTGCAATCTTTGTCTCTACCACAAAGAGTGTGGGGTATCAGAAACGCAGGGTTTTTTTTTTTGTTGTTTTTTTGTTTTTTTGTTTTTAGAGCTGCAAAGAACTCCGGAGGTTAAGCCTCATGCCACCCTCCTGTCGGGCGAGGAGTGCAGTACCTCTGGGAGCAACTGTGGTACCCGCTCCAAGCACTTCACCCTCTCAGCCTCACCGGGAAAGCGGCGCTGGCTTTTCTATTTGAAAACTGTTACCAAGTTTTCCCTTAGTTTGCTATTTAAAAAATTAGTAAGTTGCACGTCAAATGTTCCCCTTAAACAAATTAAGCAGAAATTAAGTGCTTGTGTAAAAAAATCTTAGTTATCCCATGGAAGTCTCTGCAATCCCTCCCGGAAACCAGGACTCCCTAGCATCATGTATGTGAAATGCTTTGCAAATCGCAGGGCTTTATCAATGTGCATTACGGCGTGCACACTGTTTCCTAAAGAAAATCCATGGATGTCTGACTGTATGTGTAATCTAATTATTAGCGTGAACCGGGAAAAGAATCATGCAGCTATTTGCCGTTCGCCCCAGCACGAGAGGTCTCGGGGCTGAATTCTCCTCCTGGGAGACGGCCCTCCGCACTCGGGGCTGGCAGCCGCAGCTTCCCTCTGACAATCAGCCACCTGCCTGGCTTGTGGAAAGCATCAGGTTGGATGCTACAAGGCGTAAAAAGAGGGAAAGGGGCTTTTAGTGTGTCGGAGGTGGTGGTGTGCAAACAGGAGTTTAGTTTGATGAAGAAGATCCAGGCAGCGTGGATCAGCCTGTAGGATCCGGCTGCAGAGCTCCGGTTGCCTTTGCAAGTCGGTTCCCGCCCCCGCCCCTCCCCCGGTTAGTTTCAAACTCATTCTCGGTTCTCCCCCACCTACATGCTTTAACACGCTAAAAACACCCGCGGCTTCATTCTCTAGAAAGAAATGGTAAAATCTAGGAACACTGAAAGGCTTCTATTAACTGCTCTAAGGGGTTAAAAATGCTAAAACCAACACCTGCAGTGCCGCAGTTTCACGTGTGTGTGTGTGTGTGTGTGTGTGTGTGTGTGTGTGCCGAAGCAGCGCATTAAAGAAAAAGAAAAACCACCAGGAGAAAGGGAGAGGAATTAAAGAAAGTGCCAGAAACAGCTACAAAGAAATATAAAACTTTCCTCCCATATAGGCCTTATTCACTCAAGCTTAAACTTTTCACTTTGATTTCGAAAGCCCTAGAGGCACTGCCTTGTCACCTTAAATCCCAAGGGGGATGACGGCAGAGGCCCCCGGTGGGGAAGGGGCACGTGAGGGGGGAGGGTGTCTCCGTGGAACCGGGGATACAGAAATCTAAGGTGTCAGTGGGGAGTGAGAACCTATTATTGGGGACGCGGCGTCCGTGTGGTACGGGGTTCAGGGAGTAGCTAGGATGGGGGGGGGGTTGGGGAAGGGAATGAGAGAGGGGTAAGGGGTCTCAGAGAAAAATCCAGGGCCCCGGAGACAAGTGGAAAGGACGAGCGCCGCAGCACCGGAGCTGCCTGTCGCTCGCCCCCGCCTTCCCTTTTGCGCAGAATCCTCCCCTTGGCTGCAGCAGCGCGCTGCCCCCACTGGCCCCGCGCGCCGTGATCGATCGCAGGCTGCGTCAGAATGCTCCCCGCGTATAAATAGGGGTGGCAGGACCGCGCCGAGCCGCACACAGCCATCCACCTTCCCCTCTCCCTCTCTCCCCCGTTCTTCTCTCTCTGTAGGCCCCCATCTCCGCCGCGAGGCAGAGGGGCTCCGACCGCCACCATGAGTTCCTTCAGCTACGAGCCGTACTACTCGACCTCCTACAAGCGGCGCTACGTGGAGACGCCCCGGGTTCACATCTCCAGCGTGCGCAGCGGCTACAGCACGGCGCGCTCCGCTTACTCCAGCTACTCCGCGCCGGTCTCCTCCTCGCTGTCCGTGCGCCGAAGCTACTCCTCCAGCTCCGGCTCCTTGATGCCCAGTCTCGAGAACCTCGACCTGAGCCAGGTAGCCGCCATCAGCAACGACCTCAAGTCGATCCGCACCCAGGAGAAGGCGCAGCTGCAGGACCTCAACGACCGCTTCGCCAGCTTCATTGAGCGCGTGCACGAGCTAGAGCAGCAGAACAAGGTGCTGGAAGCCGAGCTGCTGGTGCTGCGCCAGAAGCACTCCGAGCCCTCCCGCTTCCGGGCGCTGTACGAGCAGGAGATCCGCGACCTGCGCCTGGCGGCGGAAGACGCCACCAACGAGAAGCAGGCGCTCCAGGGCGAGCGCGAAGGGCTGGAGGAGACTTTGCGCAACCTGCAGGCGCGCTATGAAGAGGAGGTGCTGAGCCGCGAGGACGCCGAGGGCCGGCTGATGGAAGCGCGCAAAGGAGCCGACGAGGCCGCTCTCGCCCGCGCAGAGCTCGAAAAACGCATCGACAGCCTGATGGACGAAATCGCCTTTCTGAAGAAAGTGCACGAAGAGGAGATTGCCGAGCTGCAGGCGCAGATCCAGTACGCTCAGATCTCCGTGGAGATGGACGTGTCCTCCAAGCCCGACCTCTCCGCCGCGCTCAAGGACATCCGTGCTCAGTACGAGAAGCTGGCTGCCAAGAACATGCAGAACGCCGAAGAGTGGTTCAAGAGCCGCTTCACCGTGCTGACCGAGAGCGCCGCCAAGAACACCGACGCGGTGCGCGCCGCCAAGGACGAGGTGTCCGAGAGCCGCCGCCTGCTCAAGGCCAAGACACTGGAGATCGAAGCATGCCGGGGCATGAACGAAGCGCTGGAGAAGCAGCTGCAGGAGCTGGAGGATAAGCAGAACGCCGATATTAGTGCTATGCAGGTACGGCACCGTGCAAAACACAGTGGGGGGCGGGGAGGGAGCTGCTGGAGCAAGTTGTGGGGGTGGGGGTGAGGGTGGGGGGGGGAGGGTGGAGAGTTGAGGACGCGCCCAGAAAGTGGAGACCAGAGATGAGGCATCCGCATGCAGCTATTAGGGAGTAGAACTTGGCTCCTCGGAGACTGTGTGGCAGGGGTGGGGCACTTGGAGGGGGGGGGGGGGGGGGGCTCCACTGCAGTCTGAGGAGACGGTGCTTGGTGCTGCTGAATCTAGCTCCGCATTAAAGCTGCCCAGCCCTGCAGGGGTGGGGTGGGGTGGGTGAAGGGGTGGGAGCTGGGCGTTGCCTCGGGCCTGCCTCTCTAATGTCCTTCGTTAACCACAAGTCGCTTTGCAGTACAGATTGGACCATCTGCTTAATAAATACAGCAGGGAGCTTTCATTAGTTCTGAAGGATACCTGTGACCAAGCATGCTCAAGACTAGTTTTATCAAACACTCCTTGAGCTTAGGTAGACAGGAATGCAGTCAAAATTGTAGTAGGTAATGATGTTCGCAATAAGACATTTCTTTTTAAGGATCTCCATTTTCTGGGAAGGAGAAAATATAATATAGGTACATAGAAAATATTTTAGATACAATTATTACTATTTTTTTTTTATCTAGCTACTTCCTACTCCTGTAAAAAAATGGAGTAATTTCTTGCAGGTGACCTGGATAAAGTTAACTAACGAATATGAAACAAAGTTTTTTGTAATCAATTAAAAACATTTTGCAGGCATTTTATGATGATTCTTAGACTGTAGCAATGAAAAGAAAACAAAAAAAATTCTTCTATCAGGTTTTTTTTTTAAACTATTTTTTTGTTTTCATTTCATGCTTCCTGAGTTGGATTTTTTTTTTTTTTTTTTTAATACAAGGAAGGAAAGGTTAAAAAAGAGAAAAGGCAGTTGCTTTAGGGGAGATTTTATCTAAGGGGTGCACTTTGGTTTTAAGTAGGTTAGGCCTTTGCAGCTGTACTACAGTAAAATGATAGCAGTTGGGATTTATGACTGGATTTTTTTTGTCCTCCAACAGGACACAATCAACAAATTAGAAAATGAATTGAGAACCACGAAGAGTGAAATGGCACGATACCTTAAAGAATACCAAGACCTCCTCAATGTGAAGATGGCTTTGGACATTGAGATTGCAGCTTACAGGTAAGAACAGAGTGGAGTGGTAGCCGCCATTCAGGTTTCGGGAGAAAATCAGATTTCATGTCTATTGAGTCAGAAACCTTCAAGAACAGTCCTTTGAAATAATGGTTTGCTTTTTGGCTTTTTCTAAGAAGGTATTTAGACAGATACAGAAGAATTTGACCCTGTGTCATAAAGAGTTATAGTCTTAGTTTCTCACTACATTTTACATCGAATAGACAGGGCTATTTTAAGTTTGTTTGTTTTTCTGGTTTTTTTTGTTTTGTTTTGTTTTCTGGTGCCAGGCACGACGTCCGCAGTCATGAAGTTTCCCAGCCCTGTTCCTGCTCTCCTTTGCCTTTCGGGGTGGCATTAGGGGAGCATGATGAGTGGTGGGCTCAGAGCAGGCACACTTCCAGTGTTCCTGTTTGTTAACCTCATCCTCCGCTGCCTTCCCAGGAAACTCTTGGAAGGTGAGGAGACCCGACTCAGTTTCACCAGCGTCGGAAGCATAACCAGCGGCTACTCCCAGAGCTCTCAGGTCTTCGGCCGATCTGCCTATGGCGGGTTACAGACCAGCTCCTACTTGATGTCTGCCCGCTCCTTCCCGTCTTACTACACCAGCCACGTCCAGGAGGAGCAGATTGAGGTGGAGGAGACCATTGAGGCTGCAAAGGCCGAGGAAGCCAAGGATGAGCCCGCCTCTGAAGGAGAAGCCGAGGAGGAGGAGAAGGAGGAGAAGGAGGAAGAAGAGGCTGCTGAAGAGGAGGGAGCTGGAGAGGAAGAAGGTAGGGTAAAAAGGAAGTCCGCACAAGGTCAAGGGCAATCAGGGCATGGGAATTTGCTAGGAGACGGCTAAGAGAAATGAAGCCTTGCTTATGCCAAGGAAGTTTTACTCACATAGGACTTTAGAATCTTATTTAATGCCTTTAGTTATTCGACAAACCTTTCGTAAGTACCTGGTTTCTCAAATTGGCTGTCCTCTCCGCTGAGCTTGGTAGCTTTGTTCAAGTAACATTTCAAAATCTCCTCCTCCTGCTGTATTTTTATTCTTATTAAACATTTAAAAAGTCTATTTGACCCAGCATTTTGGTGGCCTTAAGAACAAAAATAGTTAGTTTTTTTTTTTTTTAATACTTGTTTGCTTTTTGGCGTTTTTCTAAGAAGAAGGCGTTGAGTTCAGTGGCCAGCACCGTCAGTTGTATGTGTGTTGGGGGATGGAGCTGAGAAGTTCGGGGGAAGCTCTCTGACAACTGGAGTTCCACACAAAACTTAGCAGAAATGTTTTGAATGCCTTGCCCTGGATTTGGAGTTTGTACATTTTCTTTTTATGTTAAAGCTGCCAAGGAAGAATCTGAGGAGGCAAAGGAGGAAGAGGAAGGAGGTGAAGGTGAAGAAGGAGAAGAAACCAAAGAAGCCGAGGAGGAGGAGGAGAAAAAAGACGAAGGTGCTGGGGAGGAGCAAGCAACTAAAAAGAAAGATTGAGCCCCTCTGTCCTTAATCCTTCCAGGAGGAGTTCTCCCGAAATCAGGTCAACCCCATCACCAACCAACCAGTTGAGTTCCAGATACTATATGAATTAAGAAGTTCAATATATGTATAATTCAGAGATGACTTAGGTTGGACATTCAATGTTGTGCTATGACTTTTCTCCTTATGCAGAGTATCTGTTTGCTTGCAGAGTGGCTGCCTGGCTTGCCGCCAGCTTGTGCATGGTCCACGCTTACGAGTTCAGGATCAATGGCAATGTGAATAATTCAGATGTTTACAATTAAAAAAAAAACACATGAATAAATGAATTCACTGATGTTAATGTTAAACTTCATGGTAAAAATAGTCCTTTGAACCTTTGGTGGTTAGAAAGTAAAGACCTCGAATCATGTGCAATACATAGTAAATAAAGTTACACTGAATGACATTTCTTGCTGTGGTTGTTGACTTAATTAAAATATCTTAAAGCACCAGTATAAGCCAAGGGGACTATCAACCTCCAAATTTTTTTTAAGTCCCCAGTCTTAACAATTACAATGGATATTTTTTCCCCCTGATTGGTAATTCTGAGGGATACAGTTAGGTCATGACTATTCATGAAATCTCTCCCCTCAAAAATTTTGCTGATAATAAACGAGTAAATGGGAGTCTCTGGGATTCTTCTTTTATAATTAGCAATATACTCTGTCCCATAAAAGGTACTATATAATGTTGGGAATGGCTTTCTTGGAGGCAATGGTGTAATATGATAAATACACCTTTTGTGGTAAACAGGTGATTTAAATAATTAATGCAGTGTGGCTAGAATATGAATCCCACCCATCCATTACTATAACCACATTATTTTACTATAGGCCAAATATCGTGGGCAGAAGTGGGAACCCAAGCAATTGATATAATTAGAAGGAAATCTTTTTTTCCATGTATAATTTTGGATGGAGGGGTAAAAATATCAAAGATCATTTGCCATTGCAAACATGTTGCCTGCAATCCTGAGCTCATGATTCAGTGTGTTAGTAGCTTGATTCCGTTGCCTCAAGTACACATCATTTAATACCACCCACTTTAAACTTTTTTAAAAACTACAGATAACAGATAATAAAATTGTTATCAGTCAGTAAAGGGAGGAGATTATACCTGTATGTTGCATTGCATTGCTCTGCATGTCTTTATTGGGAAATATTTGGATTTCAGTGATAGCTCTAACTGGTTGGACATTGCATTAAACACACACCCCATTCATCCTCCCTGTTCACTGTAAAGTCATGAAAGCTCTTGCACTTGATGTGGAATGTAGGTGAAATTACTGATTATCTGCTGTTCTGCCTTTGTTCTTACACAATTGCTTTGTCAGCTAATTTCGTTCCATATTTGTTCTTTAGACAACTTTCAGAAGTCAGCGAATTTAACCTGAGAGCAAAGTGGTCTCCATTTAAATTTATCCGATTCTTCATACTACCTATTTCTAGTTAAATATATGTCACCACACAAATAGGTAAAATAATTTATCTATCATGATGCTATGGATTTGAACTATGAAGATTCTCAGTATATTGGCTTCTGTAAAGACAAGGAGTTGCCTAAGAAACCAAGCTTTTCACATTTATGTTCATTAAATATGAGATGCTACACATGATAAGTCTTAAGACAGATGAAAATTACATGTAAAAAAAAGTAACTTTAGCCAAATGGAAACGGTTGGTTTCAGAATTACTTGAAGTAACAACACTGTATCATATTCTATCCTGTGTGCCATAATAAAATACTAAAAAAACCTAAACTAAATGGATTTGAAGTCTTTAAAAACATTTCCTTAAGTTTGGTACCTGGCTCGGTACCTCTGTCTCTTCTGCTTTCCCCCCCAAAACTCCAGTTCTCTTTCAGTATCATTGCTCCCAGTTCATGACGCCACTCCCCAGTTATCCAGTTCTGCAAACCAGAGCCTGGGCAAGCGTGACGTCATGCCTCCCATTTCCTCTCCCTGATCCCTCTGGTCTAATCTAACCAAGTTTTACTGATTTTATTGCCTATATTTCTTGAATCTATCCATCCACACTTCTCCATTTACCCTGACACCACCCTAGGAACTTCCCAGTGTCTGTCTACTAGTGTCTGTCTTTGACGAGCACATTAGAGTAAGCCATCCTTTTAAAAGGACATTTTGATCATGACATCCCCTTGATTAAAACCCCCTCCAATAATTTCCCATTTTTTAAAAGATTATTTATTTATTTATTTATTTGACACACAGAGAAAGAGAGAGCACAAGCAGAGGGAGCGGCAGGCAGAGGGAGAGGGAGAAGCAGGGAGCCTAATGGACATGGGGCTTGATCCCAGGATCCTGGGATCATGACCTGAGCGGAAGGCAGATGCTCCACCAACTGAGCCACCCAGGCGCCCCAGTTTCCCATTTCTTTTAAGATAAAAGTCAAAATCTTTAAACTGTTCTTGAAGGACTGCATTGACCTGACCCCAGCCTCCTCCTCAGATCTCATCCTCTCTGTATCCCCTTATCCCTTACTTCCGGTGCTTCAGTCACACTGGTCCTTTGTTCTTCCACCTGTTACAGGGGTTTGGCTGATTTCTCCATCTGGAGCACTCTTCTTTCCTTCCCTCATTCTTGCCCAGTTGAGGTTCAGTTGTCATTCCCTTGGGGAAGCCTTCCCTAACTGGGCTAAATTCCTCTACCAAATGTGTTAAGACCATGTAGACTTTGCAGACTTTTACACACTTGTAATCAGCATCTGTTTCCATGATTGTTGAATGTCTGCATTCCCTGCTAGAGTATGATCTTCAGAAGAATGGTAGTCAGCCTTCTTGCTCACCATTTTATCCCAAGCATCTAGCATTGTTTCCACCATAGTAGAGCACAAAGAAATATTGAATTAATAACTTCTTGACAGATTAGAATGCCTAGAGAGCCAAGAGTATTCTGTTAAGCAGTCCCACTCACAGTTCCAAAACCTTGTGGAAAGAGCAGAAATCCAAGAATTTATTATGGATTCTAGTGTTCTTGTTTTGGGGCCCTGGCCATATCCCCACCCCACCCCACCCTAGCCTCAATTGTTTTAGCTGCATATAGGTTCAATGGTTGATGTGTCAGATCCTTTCTAGATTCATGATTCAAAATTCCTGAAAAACTTGTGGAAGTTTAGGCTAAATGGGAAATATACATATAATTATGATGTCCACACTAAAATCCATCACGTAAAGGGAATTGCTCAACTTAGTGTAAAGATTCATTCCTAGCATTAAATTGGTAAGCGATCCATCTGAACTACTCCTTTTTCCCCACATGGAGATTTTAATGCTGTCAGAATAGTTGCTGTGTCCCAGGCACTAATCTAAGTGCATTATATGTATTAACTCATCAATTCCTTTCTTACATCAAAGTTCTTAGTCCAGCATGATTGTCATCCCCATTATACAGATGAGAAACTACAGCTAAGTAAGTTGACCAAGGTCACACAGAGAGTTTGTGGAAGGGCTGGGATTCAGCCTCAGCTCTAAAGTCCATGCTCTTAACCAGTACATCCCACTGTTTCTCCTTGGCAGTCAGGGTGGGATACGTCTTTGTGGAATCAGAGCAGATCTTCACAGGCGTGTGTTGTGACAGTGGCCTGGGAATCTGCATACAATTACTGGAATTCTCACAATGCAATTCTTGTAGTGGTCAAGGGGCACATTTGCATTTACAATGTCTCACTGTAGTTCCTTGGGATGCTCAAGCTTTTCTTTAATTCCTTTGATTATTTATGTCCATATCTTAATTCCTCTGCTTAACTTAGCTGTTGGAAGGCCAGAACCAGGGTTTGTAAACAGAGATAAATTTGGAGTTTATCTTCAACAATCATCAATTTTCAGGGATGTTGATTCTCATGGTGTTATTCTATCTGGTCATAGCTTTCTAGTTTTGTTCATATTTCACTGGCTCTTTCCGCTCTTCCTCTTCTTCATCCTCCTTCCTCTTCCCTATTGCATGTTTTCTTGATGAGCTCTTCCGAATCACTTTGGGAAGTGGAAAAAGGTTGACTAAATAAATAAATGTCTTGGTTTACTTCTACAACATCCAACAAAGTGCCTTGCATTTAGTAGGCATCTTAATAAATATTTCTAGAATGGTAAAGGTTTAATGTTTATAAGACCTTACCATACATATGGCCAGGATGAAGAATTTCCTCTTTCTCTCTTGGAAACGGAGTGTGAGATATCAGAATTGGTCCAGCCATGGTTCATGTATGAAAGGGGGTTCCAGTGGATAATTCTGGGTATTTTCATCTTTGGAAAATGTCCAGCAGAATGGAGTGCAGGGAATTACACAAACTATGCATGGGGGCCATTTTCAGTTAAGGTCTCCTAGAAAATTCCCTGTGAAGGTCTTATATGAGAGCTAGAAAGTCAAAACGTAAAGCATCATGAGAAAAAGAAAATTTCAGCAATCCCAGAATGTAACTATTGGTAGCCTTTTAATCCTACTTCAATGTAGATAATTACTTGTATAGAGGGTTTTAAAAATATAATGTAACCACTGTATTCAAAACAAATTTAAAATGGAAAAAATCACATTTCCTCCATTCAAACACCATTATTTTCATTTATATATTCTTCCTGCTTCTATTTATGCATATTTAGACATAGCTTGTCCATTCATTACACTCCTATTAATCATGTGACAGGCCATGTTCTAAGTACAAGGAGTAAGACAGGCAATATCCTTGCTTTCAGGGACTACAGTGGGGTATGTGTGTGCATAAACAGACAATAAAGGAGGAAATTAGTTAATGAGTAGGTGACATTGGATTCGAGCCAGATATGCAATGATCTGGGGAAAGAGTGTTGCAGGTAGAGGGAAGAGCAAGTGCAAAAGCTGGGCTGGTTTGAACCCAGAAAAATGCCTTCAGCTCATTGCTGAGTACTAAGAATGAGACAGAGTAAAAGACAGGGTGGAGAGTAAAAGATGGGGCAAAGGCCAGATTATGCAGGGGTTTATAGATCAAGGAATTTCAGTTCTATTCCTTGTGCAATAAGAAGGGCTAAGCAGGGGAAGGTGGCATGATCTGATTGCTGCTTTATGAGGACCACTCTGGCTTCTGCATAGAGAATGGATTTTAGGAAAGCAAGAAGCCAAGCAGAGTGACTAACTAAAAAGCCGTTTTAGTCCAGATGAGAGAAGGTGGTGTGATGACTCAGCAGAAGGCAGCAGTAGTACACATAGCATGATGTGGAATGATTTAGGAAATTCTTGAGGTAATATTTTAATGACAGAGTGAAATTCACGGAGAGGGAAAGTAGTAAACGGTACCTTATTTTTGGTAAGTACACAATATTCATCAAATTAATATGCAGTAAGCATTAGCTATTGATTTCTGTGTAACAAATCACTCCAAACCTTAGTGGCTTAAAACGATCCCAATCTCCCATTATTTC